GAATACCGTGGCAGGAACAGCATGAGCAGTATGGCTTAGTGGTTAGAGCACAAGCTCAGGACTAGACAGCCTGGGTTTAAATTCCAGCTCTACTGCTTCCTACCTGTGCAGCCTTGGGCCAGTTACCTAACCTTTTCACATCTCACTGTTTGTTTTAATTTGCTACAGGGTGTGTGCACTTGCCAGGAAGAGAAAGAGAGAAAAAAAGAGAGAGAGAGAAGCACCTCCCAGGGGGATGACCACACCGCAATCCCTTCTCCTCCATTTTTCTCTCAGGATTTTGAGCATGTGCATACACACACACATGCCCCATGTGATTTTCAAGCTACCAGGTCTGGGACTCAAACCACGCAGTCAGTCATGTGGGATCCAGCCACCTTCACCACCACACCACCTGCTGGCCCCTCAGTGTTTTTTGTGCTTTAATTTATTTATATCATCCATGAGCAAGAGAGGCAGGCAGACAGGTATTCTCAACAGGGTCTTGATGCCACAGTACCAGCACCCGGCTTTAGCCAGGCCTGATCGTGGGCACGTTTGTGCCTGCCGTACTCAGAGAGGTCCTAGAGCGTAGACCCAGAACCCTTCTACATGGGTCAGCCTTGCAAAGCACTGTGTCTCTCCACCACACTACTATCCAGCTCCACACCTGAGTTTCCTAACACACAAAATAGGGAGGATGGAAATAATGCCTACCGGGGCTGGCAGGTGGCATGGTGGTGGCTCTGGACTCCACATGGCTAACCATGGTTCAAGTCCTGGAGTTGGTGGCTTGATTTCTCAGTTTCCCTCCTTCTCTCTCTCTCTGGTCAAATTAAGAAATAATAATAATGATAAATTAAATTAAATAAATAATTCTTTTAAAAAGAAAAGAAAAAAGAATGCCTACTTCCTAGTGTCATTGTGAGGATGGCGTGAGTGGAGGTATATAAATCACTTAGCGCAGCGGCAGGCATATAGGAAGCATTCAGCCAGGAAATGTTGACTGTCGGTGCACCAGTAATATCAGCAGAAATTAAGTCACAGTTGGCTGAGCAGCGGAGTTGAACCCGACGCTCTAGGAACCTGCTAGCCTCACGGGTTACCTGAGAGTGGAAGTAAGCTGACATCCACTTGCACACAGCTTGTTTTGGAAGCCCATGCACACCCACGATCCCACTGGATCCTTCCAGCCTAACGGTGAGACAGGCCTGCCAGTGTCCATCTTTTACCGTCTCATTTTAGAGATGAGAAATTGGAGGCTCAGGGGCTGGCAGGTGGCGTGGTGGTTAAAGGCGCTGGATTCCTACATGGCTGACCATGGTTCAGGTCCGGGAACGGGTGGCTTGCTTTCTCACTTTCCCTCTGTCTCTTTCTCTGTCTCTCTCTGATCATACTGTAAAATAATAATAATAATAATAATAATAATAATAAATAAAGTTAAATAAAATAATTCTTTAAAAAAAAAGAAAGAAAGAAGTTGGAGGCTCAGAGAAGTTATGCAGAAGTGCCCAGAGCTAGGAAAACCAAGCCGATTGTCAGTTCGTCAGTCCTTGGAAGCCTAGTGCAGTAGCAAGTGCGAGAACCTACGCGTCTGACAGACCTAGCTTCTCGACCCCCTCTAGCATTCATAGCTGTGCAACCTTGGGCAGCTTTCTTAACCTCTCAGAGACTCGGTGTCCTCGTCTGTAAAATGGGCTCGGCACCGACTTCGCAGCTCTCCACCGACAAAGGGCAGCTAACCATTCCTTGTCCACAGTGTTGTGAAAACTCCACAGGACAACAGAATGTACGCACACCCCCCAGCGCGGGGCCCAGTGCACACGACGCCCTGACAGAGACTTGCCCTTTCCCTTTCCCCTCTTCCTGGTCACGTCCGCATTCCTCGGTCCCCCTCTTCCTTACAACTCCAAAGAGAGGAACATGATTGGGCAGTGAGTGAGTGGAAAAGCCGCTTGTTAAGACCCTCTCATGGAGGGAACCAGCAGTTAGCGTAATGGCTATGTCGCTGGTCTCCCACGTAGTCGACCGCGGTTCGTGTCCCGGACCCGGTGGCTTAAAACTCACGCCGGGCGCGTGTGCGTGCGTGCCCAAGATCCCGAGAGGAGAACGGAGGAAAAGGGATTGCGGTGTGTCCATCTCCCCTGGGGGGTGATTTCTCGCTTTCTGTCT